CAAAATAAAATTGAAAATTGACACCAGACCCACTCATAAAAACATGGCATCTGATAGTTTGTATACTGGCATTAAATTACTTTGGATATTAATTGTCTTTAAGGTGTCAATCCAACTCGCTACTTACTGAGCTACCCCACTAACCTGTAGTTTAGAGATAGCAGGAAGAGGAAATACAGGGCTAGGATCTTACTCTATGAGGTGAAAATCCAACTCGCTACTTACTGAGCTACCCCACTACCCTGTAGTTTAGAGATAGCAGGAAGAGGAAATACAGGGCTAGGATCTTACTCTATGAGGTGAAAATCCAACTCGCTACTTACTGAGCTACCCCACTAACCTGTAGTTTAGAGATAGCAGGAAGAGGAAATACAGGGCTAGGATCTTACTCTATGAGGTGAAAATCCAACTCGCTACTTACTGAGCTACCCCACTAACCTGTAGTTTAGAGATAGCAGGAAGAGGAAATACAGGGCTAGGATCTAACTCTATGAGGTGAAAATCCAACTCGCTACTTACTGAGCTACCCCACTAACCTGTAGTTTAGAGATAGCAGGAAGAGGAAATACAGGGCTAGGATCTAACTCTATGAGGTGACAATCCAACTTGCTACTGAGCTACCCCACTACCCTGTAGTTTAGAGATAGCAGGAAGAGGAAATACAGGGCTAGGATCTTATGCTATGAGGTGAAAATCCAACTCGCTACTTACTGAGCTACCCCACTAACCTGTAGTTTAGAGATAGCAGGAAGAGGACATACAGGGCTAGGATCTAACTCTATTAGGATCTAACTCTATTAGGATCTTACTCTATGAGGTGAAAATCCAACTTGCTACTGAGCTACCCCACTACCCTGTAGTTTAGAGATAGCAGGAAGAGGAAATACAGGGCTAGGATCTTACTCTATGAGGTGAAAATCCAACTCGCTACTTACTGAGCTACCCCACTAACCTGTAATTTAGAGATAGCAGGAAGAGGAAATACAGGGCTAGGATCTAACTCTATTAGGTGAAAATCTTGTTGTCAATCTCTTTAAGGTGATTTTAATGTTGCAATCATCTGGTTTTATTATCCAATCAGATTACTGTATTTCTTAAAATCTGGATTTGATCTTTATTTCAAATTTTGGAGAATACGGACCGTGGAATGGAAGTTATTGAATATATAATATAAACTAATTGGATTTATAATAAATTTATTGAAACAATAAACGT